GGCCTTGAACTCACAGAGATCCGCCTGCCTCTGCCTCCTGAGTGCTGGGGTTAAAGGCGTGCGCGAAACCGCCCGGCTCCATGTTTCTTTTTGTGAGACATGGTCTCTCTACCTGGCGTTGGTTGTCCTGAAACTCACTTTGTAGACCAGGATGGCCTTAAACTCACAGAGATCCACTGCCTCTGCTGGAATTAAAGGCATGCATCACTATGCCCAGTTTGAAACAACCATTTGCCTGCCACCCTACTTTCTTCCTTTCATACAGTATTTTGAATTTTTTTTTTATTATGTATACAGTGTCCTGCCTGCATGTATGCCTTCACACCAGAAGAGGGCACCAGATGTCATTATAGATGGTTGTGAGCCACCATGTGGTTGCTGGGAATTGAACTCAGGACCTCTGGAAGAACAGTTACTGATCTTAACCTCTGAGCCATCTCTCCAGTCCCAGTATTTTGAATCTTAAGATGCAATTATATGCTTCTTCCCTCTTCTGTAGTATTTCCAATTCCAAGAAGGACAAATGTGATGTTTTCTCTTTCATAAAATTAATATGTTACCAGGGAAACTACAAGTAGGACCCAAAGCTGGTTATGAGAGGGGAGGTTGATCTTCAGTGACCCCCAAGCCTGCTATTGCTAGCTATCTAACATGTAAGTGATCTAAATTCAGGAAGGCGTTTTGTTCTACATTCCTAATTATTCCGGTTACTATTTCCATTAAAGCCCAGAATCATGTCTGCTTCAGTTTTGGAGAGCTTTCCCACCCCTGTCAGAACTTATCTTTGTATTCAAAGCATCCTTTCAGTCTCGTCTTGGTGGCCAACTCCAATTTTAGTTTTCATTTGGATTCTGCTTTGCTTAACAGAGCTTCAAGTTCTTTTTTGGAGAAATGTCTTCTGAGTCAGAAAAGGGTAAAGAGAGACTGATTCAAGCTGCTAAAATACTCTTCTTCCACATACGAGATCTGGTTTCCTTCATAAATAAGTTCGTTGAATTGTTTAACCTCACAATGAAGACTCAGATCCTCCAGATGGATCTGAAAGAAGATAGCTACATTAAAGATTTCTTTGAACAAATGATTAAAATTTTTAAAGAGATGCAGTTGATGTTTGATGCAAAGCACAAACAAATGCAAAAGGAGCCTTTATGTTCCAAGGTGGTGACTGCTGTGACCTCTGCAGTGGAGAAATGTGCCAACGCGGGTCCACACCACACAGCTAAAGAAATGCTCAAAAATATCCAGACACCAGCTTTTGCCTCTGTGCTGAACAGTAGTCACATCCTTGGGAATCTAGAATCTGCTCTTTCGCTCCTGATACAGTTCCCCATCATGAGTCTTCGATTACGTGACTTCTACAGTGAAGAGACCAAAGAGCAGCCAGGTGCTACCACATCTGAGAAAAGTCCAGAACATCCCAAGGCCACTTCAGAGGATGCCTTGAGGAAGCTGCAAGATGCCCTAAGAACTGATAATGCCCACAAGTCAGTAGAAGCAGCCGCAGATGAACTGGAACTGTTTGTCAAGACTATGGAGCCAACCTTACAGGTCCTCCAGAAAACCATAAAGACCATAGAAGGGGATATCTCCACATCTAGGGAAGCCGAGGCCAAGTAGAGGTACGGTGGAAGATGTGTTCCTTTCTGTCTGAAATCAACTTGAGTTCTCTAATTTTTTTTTTTTTGTGGTGCTTTGTACATTCCGTTAATGCTATATATGCAGTTTGTTAGAACTTAAATGTAGAGAATCATCCCTTGACAAACCACTTACCTGTAGCTCTGATTTGTTACAATAAAAAGGCCTAACCAAAGAAAGCCTGCTTGAAATGGAAGTGACTGAGTAGAACATCCTACTGTAAGGATCAAGGCAGTATCACACTCGGGGAGAGTTCTAAATAGGTTGTTGCTTTGAAAGCACAATTAAAGCAACGATCCCTCCTTTTCACAACTCTGTCTCCAGTTACAACAGTGTGAAGTCCAGGTAAGTGTTGGCATTACCTTATGGTAATCTATTCATTACCATACTGTAATCTGTTCATTATTATATAGTAATTAAGAGGCGTGACTGTTCACTCCTGGGAAACATACAATCCATGCTTTGTCATTCGTACTGGTAAAGGATGACACTGGAGTCTGGTGGTCCCCTTGCTGGGATTTTAGCTTTCTGCATCCCAGAAGAAAAAACTGGACAGAGAAATCTGTACTATAGCAAAAACAGACAGTTCATTAAGAAAGGTATGCTTTCAGGGGAGGGAGGAGACCATATCTGGGAGGGAGGTTAGCTGCTCAGTGGCATGCTGGGAGGCTTGTGATCCTTGATGTATCAGTTGCATAGCACCAGCTCTCTCACATGGCTTTTTTTTTTTTTATGTGCATTGATGTTTGGCCTGCATGTCTGTGTGAGGGAGTCGAATCCACTGGAACTTGAGTTATAGGCGGCTGTGAGCTGTCACGTGGCTGCTGGGGTTTGAAACTGATTTTTCACACATTTTTGTCATGGGGTTTTCTACCCATGCTGTCTTATCTGTAACACGCCCCCACGTCAGTCTTCCCTTATGCCAAATGTTTGGTTCATTTGCTAACCCCACAGCTTTGTGTCAGGCTTTTTCCTGGACCTCTTTCAGCCTATTCTCCTGCCTCAGTACAATTTCTGTAATGTTCACTGTTTTGATTTTCATCAACCACTAAATAGTCCTGATATGATTTACTTAGGACTAAGTAAAACAGCAAATGGGCAGTAATATAATTTTGTTGCTTACATGAATAAGACCAGAGCACATAGTTTGTTCTCACCTATTTTCTCTAAAGTCTTAAGATAAGGGGATACTAGTAGTTAAAAAATAAAGGTAGTTTTGTCAGGGTGGACAGAGATGGACATGCAGCTCCATTCACTCACTCACAGCAGACCAAAGAGTTCCCGTACTGTTTTAGGGGACACCACTGTGGGCCAAACTAGTTTTCGTGGCTTCAATGCAGAAAACAATTTTAGGACTGGCGAGTCTAACACAGAGTTGGGGGTTAATAAAGATTGAGAGGTAAGACCAAGCTGTTCCTGGAAGGAGAGTAAGACACCCCCCAGAGCCTGGATACCAGCTTCTCCAAGAAGAGTCGAAGTTTATTAAAAGAGCATTGTAAATACAAACTTAAAACATGCTGGGGGGATCTCCATGTGTGGGCATGGTCTCCTCAACTGAAAGTCACACTTCAATCTGGGCATTGGGAAGGGGAAGTGGACACAAAGTCCCACGCCAGCCAAGAAGCTCTTTGCAATGGACATCAGCTAGGAGGGGGAAACCAGCTTTCTCCGATGGAGTGACACTGCTATACCAACTACCCCCAAGGGCAGGCTCCAAGCCCAGGGGTAGGTGGCCAACACAAAACAAACTCCAGGTTCTTTTGTGTGCTTTTCGTTTTTATTTTGTCTTATTGGTGTTTCCGTTGTTTTGATTTTCCTATTTTTGATAATTTTGAGAGAGAGAGAGAGAGAGAGAGAGAGAGAGAGAGAGAGAGAGAGAGAGAGAGAGAGAGAGAGAGAGAGAGAGAGAGAGAGAGAGCCTGAATTTGGGTGGGTAGGGAGGTTGGTAGCATCTGGGAAGAGTTTGGGGAGTGGAAAAACATGATCAAAATATATTTTGAAAAATTTTAAATAAAAAAGAGTCATACTTCATTTTTTGCAATACTTCCATGCAGGACTTGGGTGGATGTGAAGCTCTTTTCCTCCAACACTTCCAAGGAAGCTAAATGAGATGACAGGTGGCCTCTGAGGGCACCTGACCTGACTAGCTGTAGCTGCAAATCTCAGAGAGGCAGGAAGATGCTGTAAGGTTACTGTAGACAAGGTTAATAGTCTCACTTGAGAGTCCCAGAAAGGAAGACCCTGCCTTGCGGTCTTCAATCCTTTTGTGTTCCGACTTCTCAGTGCCAATGTTTGCTACTCCTCAGGGTTCCAGAAGTTCAGCAAAATGACTGTTAATTTTACCAAATCAAGGTTAGATAGAGCTTGGGATATCTCAGTTGGAAAATTGCTTCCCTTGTATTCACCAAGCCCCTGGTTCAGTCCCCAGCCCTGAGTAACACTGGGTGTGGTAGTACATACATGTAATCCTAGTGCTCATGGAGTGAAGACAGATGGTCCATCCTAGCCTGGGATGGACAAACCTTGTTTCAAAAAAAACCAAAATAAAACAAAAAAAACCCCGACAACACATTTAAAGGAAAATGAGTTAATTCAACAAAAGTCGATTGGAATCAGATCACTGGACAACTAAACCTTAAATCCTGATTTAATATGCAATTTATCCAGAAATTTTATTTCACTGCTTAAAGAATATTTATTTATTCTTATTTATGTTATGGGTGTTTTGCCTGTATATGTGTATGTGTCCACATGTATGCAGGATCCCTCAGACATTAAAGGAGAGCACTGGACTCTCTGGAACTGGAATTTCAGACCTTTGTAAGTGACTATGTGGATGCTGGGAACTGAATCTGGGTTCTATTCAAGAGCAGCAAGCATCCTGACTACTGGGCCATCTCTCCAGCCCCTTTCCTGCTGTTTTAAGTACACACAGAACTTTCAGATATTAAAGAAAACACTGCACTGTGACATAAAAATAAAATATTAAATGGGTTCAGGATATTTGTATACACACAAACAAGAGATGCTTCATTATTTTAATGAAATCACTATGAGAGATAGTCACTATGTACCTTGTCTAGTAGTTTCTTTTAACAGTCCATATGAATTTATTTCTGAGCGTTAGTTTTACCTCTAGAAGATACCCCAGACTAGCAGGAAGAGAAATGAGATATTACAGTGAAATATCTAAACTAGCCTATAGTTGCATGAGTGTGTGTGTGTGTGTGTGAGTGTGTGTGTGTGTGTGAGTGTGTGTGTGTATGTGTGTGTGAGTGTGTGTGTGTGAGTCTGTGTGTGAGTGTGTGTGTGTGTGTGTGTGAGTCTGTGTGTGAGTGTGTGTGTGTGTGTGTGTGTGTGTGTGTGTGTAGGCCAAAGTGTGTGTAGGCCAAAGGTCCACATCAGGCGTCTTCCTCTTTCGTCCTCACCGTCCCTCTTTCACAGGCTCTCTTGCTGACCCTGGAGCCCGCAGGTCGCCTACAGCTCTCTTCCTGCACACTCTGGGCATCCTCCTGTCTCCACCTCCCAGTGCTAGGTTTCAGGTGTGTTACAATACCTAGCTTAAATTCTGAAATGTTAACTTGGGTTTTGACTTAATTTAAATAAATGACCAACTTTACAGATTTCATACTCAAAAATTTTGAACTTCTGAGAGAGCTCAAGGGAATATGAACCATACTTTTATCCTTAACCAAGCTCATAAATCTGCATGATTTCAAGAGAGTGATTTCTGTCTCCAAGCTTTGGTCTGTGAACAGCAGCAGGAGGGAGAACTATGTCATCATTTAAAAAACTTACTTCCTGAGAATCATGACCACGTAGGCCACAATGTTTTCTGTTGGAGTAGAGCAGAACTGTGTGAGGGCACAGACTAATGAGTCTGCCGACACAGGACCTGCTTTAGAATCCACCTTTCTACTATGTGCACTGCGGGATGCTCAAAAAAAAAAAAAAAATGATGTTGCTTGTGTGGAGAGCACTCTGTAAGACTTTCCTGTTTAAATCTGTTTTACTCTGAAACCTGATTGTGCATGGAGATGAAATGCTTTTGACTGACATTTTGGCTTTGCTATGTGGCCTTATCGATTTAAAAATATTTGAAATAATATCTGTTTATTTGTGTGTGTGTGTGTGGGTGTGTGATGCATGTGTGGCGGTCAGGAGACAACTTTCAGGAGTCTCCTGCTACCATGTATGTTTGGGGATCCAATTCAGCTCATCAGGCTTAGCAGGTGGTGCCTTTTCTGCAGAGCCATCTTGCTGGCTCCACACTGTGTGGCTTTAAGTCTCACCTCCAGCCATCACACTCCTTTCTCTGCCGGACTTAACTGTTTCTTGGCTCTATAAATTCAAGGACCATCCCTGCTTGGCCTTTTCTTTCTCAGCTCTTTCCCACATGAAGCCGCAGCTCACCTAAGCAAACCCTCCTCTGTGCTAGAGTTTTCTTGCCTTGCCCACAGTCAGGACAAATCTCTGTCACCCGCCAGTCCCACAGCCACTCAGACCCAACCAAGTAAACACAGAGACTTATATTGCTTACA